CAGTTTTGGTGTCCGGAAGAACAATTTTGAATTCTTGGGGATTTATTATTCCATTGTAATAATCTGAGATTTTCTATACTGTCACATGGATTAATAGTGAAAATGGAAACCATCTAATTGTACACATAAAAGTGTCTCAGCAGCTTTAGTCACAATGGAAACAGAAAAAGAAGGTGATGGCAATAACAGACATAAAGCTAAGGAAATCTAATATACTCAAAACATAGGAGTAATGGATGAACCTTGCTCTGGAAGTGTCATGCAACCAAATATTTTTTAAACAAGACATCAGAATAGTTTGTTGATTCAGTTAAATATTCTTCCTTTCCCTTATACATTTTTAAGCGTCCATCAATAGCCAAACTACTTAGAGAAAGTACTGCTGAAGGGGTTGTCTTATTTACTGGGCTACATATAGCCCAGTTAAGGACCCTATCAAAAAGAGAAGGATGATATGAAAGTGAGAGGGAAAACAACAAAAGAAAAAGTGCAGAAATAGAGTTGATGCAAAGACAAGCTTAAGAGAACAAGAAAGAAAAATGTGAGGAAAAGGAGGGGAAGAGAAAGTTTTTCAGAAATGTTTTGTTTCCTCAAAATAAATACTGTCTGCTACTCAAGTGAACACAGATCAAGGGAGAATTTTTCATCTTCCTGACTAAATGATGACTAACAGTAAAAGCTCTTCTTCTGAAGAGGCAAACAAAACCAGAACACAGTTTAATTTCACATTTCTACCAGCACTGCACTGGGAGGGATGCACTGAAAGGATGCAGTGCCCCTCCCTAAGGCACTGGAAGACAGAAAAGTTTAATCTAGAGTCCCCATCAGGTATCAGATTATTCAAGAAAAATTAACCCACATCTGCTTGTAGCAATGTTGCTATGAACAGGTGCTTTCCTTCATTCCAGCTAGGAAATATGGCACCATTCCCCAGGTGCTCTTTGCTACCTATGCTGAAGGTTACCATTGGTCAATGCATCTGCCCAGCAACATAGTTTATGATTCCATAATTCACTTCAGGCAAAATCCAGGTGCAATCAGGCTGCCATTTTAAATTATTTGAGATAATGTGGTGGATTTTGATGTAGCAAATTAGGGAGTCCTTCACAGAGCCAGTGGAGGAATGGCCGTGTGACAGTTCTGGTGGTGTGGTACAAGGAGCAGATGGAAACAGCCGCCTCTTTTAGCAGCACAGCTGAACACCGGGATCTGTCAGGGGCTGTATAAGCATAAGAGCAAACTACTGTGTTTGCCTCGCACCTCTAAACGCTGCAGGACAGGCTTTCACATTCTGACTCCCATGGAAAATAAAAAGGCAAAAATAAAAAGAATTTAATGTTGTCAAGTAGTTCTCCAAGGCAAACCAGCCTAGAGTTAAAAGAATAAAAAGAAACCCCCCTCCTTCAAAATCCATCTACTCTTCCTGATTTATCCTGCAAAGAAATCATAATCCTGCAACTGATGAAACCATAGCATGTTACCTTGGTAACTGATAACTCAAATCCACTCTTAAGAATACACTCAAAGGTCAGACTGCATGAAAAGTTAGGCTAAGGAAGGTATAATTCATGTTGAAAGGTAAGTACAAGAAAAAGGTGCCACTGATATTTCTGATTACAAAGACTCCATACAATAAATATAAGCATGTTGGGGAAAAAAGAATAACATCACACAATGTCAGCACTGAGACTACAGATATAAACCTACCTTAAGAAGCTCTGAATATGTGTTATGACAACATCTATAGTTATAGGAATACACTATTGTTCAAAACCATCAAATTATTGTCATAACATTTTCTATCATCTAAAATGAACATGCGTGCATTTCTTTGACATCTTTTTCATTGTTATATGCTAGGGGAAAAAGAATTGTATTAAAACAGTCACGTTCACCAATATAAGCAAGCATTTAATCCCCCACTTCAAGCCACACTTTTCAATGTTTTGGTTAAAACCCTAGGTATTCCCCATTTTTCTTACAAACTGCAGCACAATTTTTCTTAGGATCAACTCCAGCGCTGAAGCAGTTTCAGACTCAAAGATCTATCTGTGCCCATTCATTTGCAGTGTAAATGAAATACATTATGCTCAAATTATGGTATAATATATAATTGCAAGATAGGGCAAACTTTTCACATAGGTAATGCTTGTGAATTTTATGTAGCATAAAATTCTGTAATTTTAGAAACGTATCTATGGGTGTAAACACAGTATGATTTTGTATCTAGGAAAAAGTTATGAACACATACAACCAGGCTTCAGATAGAAAACGGAGCAGAATTAAGGCAGAATTTATAACCCTAAACTTAGAATCTCAACCTCTATGTAGGTGCTTCACTGTGCATTCTCAGGGCTTCATATCAAACTTATGAGAGGGAAGTGCAGAGAAAAACAAACATATAAAACCACACTCTCATAGAGAAGTCAAGCGTAAGAAATTCAGGTTCCAGAGGCAACAGTTTTGAAAACCATTAGGCAACCAACTTTGGCACACACCTGGATGGTTCTTCAGCAAGCTCCATCTTTTAAGTATGTCCTATAAAAGAAAGCAATTTTAAAACGTCTCCATTTCTACATGACCTTGGAAGTCCTACAAGCTGTCAAAGGCACCGCATGACGCTCTCATGAAAACATCATTAGGAAATGATGTCTTCCTCAAAAAGCAGCACATGAAAACAAAGCGATCCACAAATCTCCTGCAGTTTCCATGTGATGGGGTTGTTGCAGAACACTCAGCACAACTCAACAGAAGCACTGACTGCTCTCACAGAAGGGCACTTGTACTGACTCAAGAGAAATAGAGAAGGCCCTGAAGTGAGGGGAAAAAGAGAAGAATTTATTCCAGTGCCATAACATCTTGATATTTTCTGTGTCCTTGGCCTGCCAGCTCCAGAAGACAACTCCTCAGCCGAATGAAACACATCTATAATTTTCTAACCATTACAATTATGATTATTGCTTAGCAAGAGGTACCTTTCATTCTATTTAATGACTGCTTACTATTGTAGTACTTAAAGGGAAGTAACTTTTAAGGTTTTTTGGCTTTGTGAGCTAAAAGCCCTAACCAATGTTTCATCTGCCTCTGTAGGGTGTGAGCCTGAATCAAAGCTAAGAGCACACTTTTTTATAACTACAATGAAAGACTCAAATGGACTGGTTAAATACATTTCATGGCTTATACAGAGTAACAGAGGACACGTTCAGGGCGTTGAAGAGAGTGAAGGAAAATCTGTAAACGCTCATGTTGCTAAGCGTGTCAGAAAGCATCCCAAAAGAATTATCGTAAATCATGAGCTTTTTCAGACTGGGGAGGGAGGAGGAAATCTTAAGTTTTGTTCCGTAACTATGGAATATAGATAAAAACCAGTACATGCATGTCTATGCATACACACACAAATACACTGCAGTAACCTGGGGAAGTTTGGGTGAAAGTGTACTACTCGTCTACTTGCAAAACATTTCTAATAGACATATTGGATTTCTGCTAACAATAGCAGAAAAGCTTGTTAGCACCAGGGGGAAGAGAAGGGAGTTAGGCACAAGAACAAATATTCAGTTTTGTTCTTTTAATCAAAATCAGTATGCTTGGGTTGACTTTCTAAAGATTCTTTCAAGTTGACAACTATACCTGCCTCACTGTTGAGTATTTGTACCTTCTTATCTGAAAAAGGTCTGAAAAATGTAGAAAGCTAACTGTGTTGATACTTTGCACCTGCAAGCCTTCACTAGAGAACAAAGATGGTATCATCTAGCCCCCTAACATAATAGGGATACTTGTCTGGTAGACAGAAACTCAGAGAAGCAAACAGATAAGAAATACTGTGGTCCCTGGACTATTCGTGGGGTGGAAAGAGTCCAACACATCTGGCACTGAAAACAAGAATTCCAGGATGCCAGCACAAATCTCTCAACTGATAAAAATGCTGATGTTGCAGCTGCATTAAATATCAATACTACAACCAAAATCTGTTGCACAAAACTCACCAGTACTACACAAATGATATACAGCTGAAAAAATATTTTTCATTCTTGTTATGCAAGAAAGAAATTACAAATGAGTTCTAGCAACTTTAAACCCTTTGATATATAATTATGTCATTAAAATTTGGGGGGGAGGGGGAAACACGTAAAGAAAAATAGAGGATAAAATATGCAATTTTAAAAAAAGCCAAAATTATACAAAGCTCCATAAAATAAAGTTATTTGGGATTTTTGTTGTTTTGTGGGGTTTTTTTGTTTGTTTTTTTTAACTGAAGAGTCGCGGAAGGGTTGCTTCTGATTTCCCTATATTTGGACTACCACCATTATCACTAAGGAGCTGTTTCATCTGTTGCAACACACTTGCACATCAGAAAGTCTCATCAGACTTATGAAGCAGATCTAATCTATGCTTAGAGAAAGCAACAAGGAATGTAGTCATAGGAGAAGATCAGAAGATTTGGTGACAAAGACCTGCTGTGGATAAAGTTTTCTTCACATCATCTCATGGAATCACTCTACTTAGCCTTCAGTATTGACACAGATTGACAACGGTATTCAGGGGAAATATGCATTTTAGCAAATCAGAAAACAAAAATTAGTATAACACTTCAGAAAAGTGGAAGGGTTTACAGGAGAATGACACTGAAACAGAATGTTCACCTTTCCTTACAAGTTTCCTATGAGGTAAGACACTCCATTTTTTTTTCTCAAAATGGTATATTCAAGCAAAATCTAAAATAAATTAAACTACATCAACCTTCAAAGGAAAACATTGTGGTTTCAAAAGGTTTTCATTGTAGCACAAAAAATTGAGCACGGCAAGCAGTTTGAGCATACAATGGAGCTGTAATTTGATAAAGAGCCTTCCATCATTCAAGGGTACAACTGTGCAAAATCTTGCTATCAGCACTCTCAAAGACTATTGACCTTTCTCCATATAATTTTTCTGTGACTTTTTCCATTTTTATTTACTCTAGTCAATGATTAAAAAAATCCAAACCCAAAAAGGTTGCTTACCACCTGTATGCAACACCTTGCAATCTGCTGCTGAAGGGTCATTTTCACTCTCTTTAACGTTGCTGATGTTGTCTCTTTCAAGCAGTCTGTCCACCATGGCAATAACGCAGTTTAAGCTCTTTCCCACATTGGCCCACACCCTGTCCTGAAAAGAGCATAATTATCACTGCACATTACTGAAGAAAAAAAAAAAAAAAAAAAAAAAAAAAAAAAAACTAACTTTTAAATAGACAATACTAACTTCTTATTAATACCTTGAAGTGGAGACAGAGACCTGCAAATTACTAGATATATTGCTAGAAATATTCGGTGTCAGCATATTACCATTTTTCTCATTCTTCAGTCTACTACCAACTTAAGCCTTTTGCATGGAGTTTTTTCTTGCAGTATAAATGACTAAACTGAAACAGTTTGGGTTTTTTAGACACTGGAAAACACATGTGCTTCAAACTCTGTATGAAAATGCATGCAAAGTTTCAGGTCCAATCACAAGGAACTGAGCAGTTTGTCTACAGTAAGAGCATAGACATTCAAAGCCTTGCAAAATCAAATCTCGTGTGCAACTGCCAGTTTTGCCATAGTACTTGACAACCTTTTTTTGATAATTTAAGATACCCTCTATTTTATCGCATCAGTTACTCTGTTAAAGCAAATGTAAAATTGAAAGACTAGAATTAGAAACTTGCTGTCATTACATGTTTATTAGGTAACACAATTTCAATTTCATTCTTCACCTCTCACATAAACTGCAATCATCACACTTAACTGAGTTTATAACAAATATGAGAATTACAGAAGTAATAGAGTGATAGAAGAAATTCTGTACAAGCAGAGACCAAAGAGAGAATGTGGAGTGAAACAGCAAGCTGTTATGGAACAAAGATATAGGAAGGATCCTTCAGGTGCTGGACGCTGCAGATATTGAAGCTCTTGCACCTACTTTTGTGGGACTGTATAAGAAAAAGGAAAAAACCAAGCCATACAAGAAATGAGGCTGCACATAAGGCTAGCAATCAGACTAAAACCAAAACAACAAATCCACACCCCACACCCCCCTCCCCCATGTTTTAATGCCGAGTCATTCTGAAACTAATGGAAAGCAACCAGCGTTTGCTTGAAGGGTAAAAGTGGGAAGATAGCATCACTGCTCTTCTTTCTACTTTATGATATAATAGCCAGAAGCATTGGGTATATGTTAGGCCTTTATACCATAAAAATGGAGTCACAAAAGACAACAAGAGACAAGGTTCAAGAAAACTGAAAACTCACAGAAATACCATAGTTCTATATAAATGGTAACACTTGGAAGTTGGGTGAAGGCAACGTTGGAACAACTACTGAGGCAAACATTTAATCCAAGATCTATTTTTAATTACATGCCACACTTCTTAGGCCATTATCTTGACTAGAGGGATCTGATCTTTCCCTGTTCCCTGCACTTGAGGGCACACCCTGTGACAAGCGGGCATCCTGCCCTGAGGGACGTGACACGGGCCTGCAGACAGAAGCATGTACTTGCTGAATCTGTACAGCAACACAGATCCTCTCCTCCAGCTCCCCAAACCTGACTCCCATAAAAATCTTGTAGGGCTGCTTTAAGGACAAGTGAGCATCCAGTGTTACAGGTGGATGTAGAAACTACAGTTTGATCCTCTGACTAGATAAACCCATGCCTTAAATTATGAAAAAGATATTGTTGATTTACAAGAGGCAAGAGGCTGGTCACTCTCATGCAGAACTGCATTTAATCCAAAAATTATTTAAGTACTGCATGTACAATGCAACAAGTGGAATATCTGCACCTGTACGCATGAAACAAACCATTAGACACATGACTATCTGATATTCACATGCGTAGATACAATTTAAAGCCAAAGACAGAGGACAGGTATAGATTCCTTCAAACGTTTCATCCTGGATGTACCTCAAGCATTCCTGAAAACATTTAGAATATGGGTGAAATCATTGATCTCCACCACCTGCAAACATTATTTTTGCGAGAAGGATTCAATGAAGAGCAATGAAATACTGGAAATAGTAAAAATTCTGGCCCCAAATAGCTGCAGTTTTTACTAGACAATAGCAGGGAACTTCAGTCTTTCTATTCACTGAAGCTGCTGAGGTATATGAACTCAAGTTGCTCAGTGTGGCTGCAGCAACGTAATTTCCCTTTCCTCCCGCTGCTGGGGGAGTTTAACTCCACCACAAAGAGTGTTAAGCTCTTAGCGAGCATCTGGAGTTATTGCACAAGCAACACAAATATAAGCCCTTATTTCATTTTGGAAAGAACACTCTTCTCTTTTTAAACCACCTATTAACCCAGCATTGAGATGATGTCTATACAATATTCACACAAACATTCCCTGAGGGTTTAGAAGCAAAATTCATAAACATCTGTTGACAGAAAGCTCACTTTTATTATCATATATCTGGTGTTTTTACATATGGGCAAGTAAGACAGAGGGAGAAAGGGCCTGTCCCACAGCTCTTTTTCTCCACATAGGAGGTTCCTAGGATTAGAAGCTATCATTATAGGCAGACAGAAAAAGTAGATATAACGTTCACTGCAACGTTATTCTCTCTGCACCAAAGACAGGCACATTTTTCCAAGACAGCTGCTGAAATTCTGCAGTTTTGTATGTACAATTCTCAAGTAAAAATGCAGTTTCCAATCAAGGAAGATCAGATGACTTCCTATTATTCTCTGCAAGAAGAAATCCATCCATTTCACATTCTTTGTCATCCCTTACTTGGTAGCCTAGCACACTTTCCATACACCTTTCACCATCTCACATGGTCTATTTTCAATGTGCCTAAGAACTACCTCACAAGTGACCACCTTGCAGCATGTGCCAGGTTAAAGGACAAAATACACCCACAGCCTCCCAAGTAAGCATTCTTATAAGCCCTCTGTGTGAAGTGAGGGATCAGAAGAAAATAAGTCCTATTTCTTGATATGCTGAAGTACTAAGACCTTAAATTGCTAAGTAGGATGCTTCTCCCCAACACCAGTTTTTCCACCAGGTGCTGTGGAGCTAATTGGATGGCAAGTTTATCACTGTGGTGTGAAAGAACAAGAGAAACAAGGTCTCTGGCTCCCTCCCATTACTGCTTCTTTAAGCTCAAAAGCCAAGCCAATGACAGAGAAAGTGGAAATCCGAAACAGGGCTTGACCACTTTGGGACAAGGCAGACTGGGATAGGGCAACGGCACATTGACATCTACTTCTTCCAAATTGCAGAAGCCATTTGGGACATTAAGGAGTCCTGGCACATGTGGTTAGGTGTTACTAGTTAGAAATGGCCATAGTTGCACCTGTCTTGCCTCCTCTGCTGTAGCACTGGCAGGCATGCATGCATACTCATAATGATCTCCATGAAAAGCTAGGCCTTGGCATCACAGAAAGGTGGAAACTTTTCTTAGGACATTTAAAAATGAACCTGTAAAATAATTCTCTTTCATACATCCAATTAAAAAGGTGTAATTATTTCCATCCGCTCTGAAAGGCAATTCAACGCCTTCATTTCAGAGAGCAGCAGTGGAAACTATTTTCCTGTCATTGCACCAGACTGGATGTCTTCCCCCTAAGCACTGCTGGCCAGTAGAGCCCCAGAGGCTGTCTTTTTGTTTTTAAAGGATTCTCAGGCTTTCTAAATTCACTACAGAGCTCCTCGGTCATCTCTTGTCCTTCCATATACACCACTACAGTTGTGTGCTTTACTTGTGCCAAGTATGACACAGGAACCGCATTTCCCAGCGCTCTGAAGATACTGTGTCTCCTTCATGTGGGTTGATAGCCATATATTACCTTAAGGTCCTTTTTGAGGTATGCACATAGATATCTTAATGTCTTAACTAATGTGCATGATTAACAGCCTCTTGTGATGTGACAGTGCTTTGGAATGGAATATACGTCAGTATTTCAGACCCGTGTCTGAATACCATGTCAGTATTTGTACATAACCTATTGCAAATGCCATTTTATCTGTTCTTTGTAGCTCCAACCACGTTAAGTAGTCAGAAACGTAGAGCAGAAACAGCTCCAAGAGGCCTTGTGCACACCTTGTATTATACATGACAACATGCTTCGTTCCCTCTTGCAGGGAGGTTCTAGGATAGCAGAAGCAGCTGATGAGAAAAGAGTATCTACTCAGAGCCAATCTAAAACTCTCAAGTTAAAATATTTCTCCTTCAACAATAATGCTTTACTACTGCCTACGTGTAGCACACCAATACACATAGCTCAGTCCATACTGCTGTCAGCTACTCTGGGATCAATATTTGTACTTGGTATCAAAGAAGAGAGGTGCAACACAGTATTGTTATTGAGAAGGCAGCTTTTTGGAAAACACCGGTCACTCAGTGAAAGGGCACCCTGCACAGTTAAGAAATTGGGAGTTATTCCTTAAAGATAAATTTGGATGCCAGGGAACAGTGTGGATCTCACCTAGTTTTTAAACACTGCCTTGAATTCACTTTCGTGATGGTCATAATGTAATGCAGTTGTTGGAAGTGGATGGAACACAGTCAGCTTAAAGAGTTGTTGGACATCACTGATCTAGATTTTGGGCAAAACTAAAATTGAAATTCCAGTTGTAAAATGCAACTCTAGTGCTTGATAACAGTGGGGGAAGAAAAAACAACAAAGGAGGATATAGTACTGTGCATACAAAGCAATGTATCTCAAAGTTTTTTTTTCCTTTAGAGCTGACTTTCAGAGTAGGTTAAGCATTTTTTCAAATTTTACAGGCATTTATTCTTTCTCTTTTCATCATGCTAATGACAATTTGATCATTAAAACTCGCTTTATTCATTACCTCCATTGACAGAAAGAACTGAAAAATAATGGAAGCCTAATCTTTCAGATTTAGAAAAAAACAAAATTTCTATAAGATTTATACTGTCTCATGTTTGACAGTGACTCTGACTCAGTTTAACTCAAAATACGTAAAGACACGCTATATTTTAATCAAGCACGTAATCTCACTAATTCAGCAGAAAAAATAGATACACTTTAAACTAATGTACTTATATGTTTTAATAGATGAGTACCAAGCACCTGGCAGAAATAAATTTTTAAAAAATGAAATACAGTAAATCTAGCTTCTCTGCAGAGACAGAGGTACTAAATTCAAATACAACTTGCACAAAAATGCCATTCTTCCAATGCAAATTTTCTCCCTTTTATCAAATTAATTGTGATATTTATTTTTCCTGAATGTTTTGAGAGCTGGAAACAAACATTTTGGCTTTAATTTCAGGGAAAGAACCACCATTCTAGCCCCTTAGGTTGTTGAGAAAATATGAAATAGTGAATTCAAGGCTCTAAAACCAGAAGACAAATAAAAGAATGAGCTATTTATTGTTTAAATCTCATGACTTCTTAATGCATGGGGTTGGAGATAATTGTCGTTTCTCTAGAAGAAATATATTCTTCTTTTATTTGTGGTATGGACAAAAATTACAGTTCAGGTGTAAACACTGTAGCTCACACAAGTTATTAATTATCTACAATAGAGATTAATACGCTGGCATCCATTATATTTATGAGAATAGAGTGATGAACTGAAAGTATGAGCCTGAACTGAATAAAAATAGCTTGAGTTCAGGGTGTGTGTAACAAAGAAGCAGATCTATTATGAGCACATACACCAAAATAATTAATTTACAAAATCTCAGCCATATAAATAATAGAAATCTTTGAAAGATATGCTAAGAATGCTAAAATCTAAAAGCCATGTTTAATTCTTTTATGCAATCTCAGACATCCTCTAAGAACAGAGTCTAAGGAAAAACAGCTCTGTTTTGCTGACAGTTAATTCATGTGTATTTAAACTATTTATATTCAGCTGGGGGGGGGAAGAAGAATTTTCCCTCATAATAGCATATGCTGTTCCAGTCTCCTTAAATCTGCCTAACTAGCAAAAAGAACTCAAGTAAGAGCAAAGACAGACTATTTTCCTGTCTGGGCAAGAAGATATTCATCATCCTCACTGTTACATGCACAACCAAGCAGTCACACAGAAGCACACTGTGCTTCAGAAAATTCTTTCAAGTCAGTTTCAAAATCTACAATGCATCTGAAAAATATTATTTCACAGTTTTGCACTCCTTTCCCTCCCCCCAATAACATATGACCAGGACACTTAGGGCTTGTAGTTGTTTATGCTGATTTGTAGGGTTTAGGACTGAATGTCAACTACGAGTTTCTGACTACTTACCCACTCCTCCTCATCATACTCAGAATGATGGGGTATAGAGTCCTGTCTTTTAATCTGAGAAGGATGATCCTGATGCTGTAAATCATCCCCCTCTTCTGCACTGTTTCTAGGCACAGCTGGTTTCTTGAGGACACAGCCAGGCCGGGCTGTGTATAGTGCTAAAAGGGCACTTCTGACCAGCTGATCCTTAAACGCATGCACAAATAACTCCGTCTAGAAAAAAAATAGATGAATGAAAAGGTTAGACCAAAGAATGCAATACTGCAACATAGCTATTGTAACACTGAATTACCCTTAGGCAGAAGGGATGCCGGCCTGAGAGGCAGAAAACAGAGTAGACCAACAAACAATGAGGAAAAATTCAAGGGTTTTCGGGACATCACCACATTCTACAGTCCCATTGCTCTAAAGATTAACACAAAAGTACGGTATCTGGCATAGAAATCATCACCTCTTCACACAATCCTATTTTATTCAGGTTCTAAATTTTGCCTGCAGAGATAAGCCTCTACAAGAACCAGGTCCAAGAATAACCAACCACTCACTGCTCAATAATTTCTGAGTGTCAGATAAAATGTGATTAACAAATTTAAGGATCTTCTTAAATGAAAACACACTACTCTACACTGCTGGGATTGCAGTATCTGCAAAAGCAGTGTTTCCAGAGATAAATTTTGGTACCTATAGGTATCAACCCAGATATCAGGGCAGGTGATGACACCTGATTTCTAGCTTTATTTTATTTATTTTTAAAGAAGGGAAACCTTGAAGTAGGAAAGGAAAATGCTTTCTGCATATAGTCTTTAGCATCTCTAGACTCTATCTCCTCATAACAGCACTTGCCGTTGCCACTAGTCTGCCACACGTGCCCATCTCCTGCAGTCACACACAACATGCGGCCCTACCCTCCCTCCATCAGCTGACACAACTTACTGAGCAGGAGAGGGTGAGGTGCAAGGACATGTTCCCTTTCACTACAGGGCGGTAACCACTAGCAAAGCCACAGTGACAGACAGCTGGGGAAGTCACAATTTTGGCTACTCCAGCAACATTCAACAGGGTTCATCTGTCAGAGTGGGGAGAACATGCACCCTGTTGCTATACCCCGTCCCACCCAGGCTGCTATAGCTCCTCTCCCCAGTCAGAAGCTCTGGTTCACAGGTGATGATGAAACACTGTTTTGCATTTCTTTCACAGCACAATTACCTGAATTTATTTATCCCAGGTCAGTGGGATTTAGTTGCCTTCCTATTTACCCAGAACATAGCGGACTGTCATGTGCAGATGCTGAACTGCCTTTGTGTGCACAATCTTAATTAAACAGGCATGAGGAAAAATATGTAGATAAGAGTCAGAGCAACCGGCCTGAACAAGCAGTCACACAAAGCTAGGAAATGCTAGAAATAAAGGTTTCCCAGCCAAGCTTCATTCAGCCCTTTCACGCTTCTTACGCAAAACCTGTAGGAGAAGTAGCAAAAAAACCCCAAATCAAACAAGTTTCAAGTGTCAGCATCTATCTTCCTGGAAATCTTTCTCCTAGTTTCTGCACATCTTACTTCTAGTTTTATCCCATCCGTTTTTGCTATTACTTGCTCCCCTTTTGTTTGCCTCTTCTCCTGCTCAACTTATTTTTCTTACTTTTCTGCCTCGATACCCCCTCAAAAGTTTACTGACATTTAGACCACAATGCTCTAAGTAATGGCTGGTTTTCTTAAAGCTCCAGCTGCTGGGTTAGGTACCTGCTGGAGAAGTTTCTGCTTTTTAACATTTTCACATTGTTTAGTAAAAAGGTATTTTTGATCCTTAATGGTTGCACATAGAAAGGTTGAAAATCTGCTGCAAATAAAACTCAACAGTCTTAAAAATAAGACTTAGGGATATCTAAAGCTAATATGACTTTTTTAAACCAACATCAGGACTTCTTTCAGAACTGATTCAGGATTCTTTAGTGATTAGGCTTGGCAACACTAGTCATCTCCCTGGCAATTTTACCAGACCCATTCTGTCTCCTCCTCACTAACTTGGTGCCTGAGGGAAAGGGTGCTTAAACAGAGATGGTTTTCTTATATGTAGCCCTACAGGACTACCTCAGGGTAGTCCTGAATTGCACTATAGGACAATTTCAATTTTCTACATTTCCAGCCTCCACATGGTACATGCTCAGAGAATACATAGTCTTTGGGGAATATTGCTTGTAATCTTCTATAAAGAAGAGGCAAAGTGAGACTTGTGGATTTGTTTTTTCTTGCATGGTAACAGCAGAGCTCCTCTTGAAGACTGTTCTACAGTTCCATATCAAGAAAGTCCAAACTGCCTTACTCGTCTGTCCTTAGAAATGACATCATCATGGTTTTGCTGAGGTTTTGTAGCTCCCCTTCCCCTCAAAGTCTGCTTGAGATCATTTCAGGTCTCTGCATCAGGCATGGTAAACTCAAAAAGCTTTACATTTCAGAAAATTGTAAGCATTGGACAACTTGAAGTAAGGAATACCCACTACGACTGCAATGTATATTAGGTAATGGTCTGAAAAATTTAAGTAATTTAATATGAATATTTTATAGGGAAAATTCATTTTAAAAAGCAAACTGGCATGGAAGCAAACCTCCATTTTTTTCACATAGACACTAAAATGCTTCTGTAATTAAATTCCATTCAAGGATTCCATTGGTTTAACAACAATCCGCATTCTAACTACATTTGCTTACAGCTCAGTACAGCTAAATTTGCAGAACATCACTATTTATAAAATTGTATTGAAATCACAAAACATTTCATTTCATACAACGAAATGAAAACTTTGCAAATTCTTTTAGATACTTGACTAAAGAATATTTCTGCAAACAAAGATAGGCATAGCTGGAAAATGAATTTATCAAGCCTTCTGCAAGCTGCAAATGCTGATATACTTGTCAACAGCTAAAGGCTTCCTTAATCAATTAACAGAAAGTGTTGATAAAAGGTTAGTCTCAGGAAAACACCACAGTAAATTGCAAATCACATATGAAGAAGTAAAACCATGCTTAATATGAGAAAATAAGCTCAATTTAAGAAGCAGCAGCGGAATTATTTAATTTTCCACTTTCAATGCATGCAGCCAGTCCTTCCATTTCTAACATAAATACCTAACTGTAAATCACACTATTGATAGTTCAGATATACTCACTGCTACCTAATGTTTTTAGAAGGAACTATTCTATACATCAAGTTTAACATGATCTTAAAATAAAAAGGGATAGGCTTTTTAATAAACATGAGGAATTTAATCACCAGGCAAATAATTTTTACGACTTCTTCAAGCAACTGTTTAATTTCTAAATCTCTATCAAGTTATAATGTAAGACAATGTTTCTTTTTTACATATAAAAAGTATACAAAAGGTGGGAGAGCAGAAGCACCTCGTATGCCTCAAGAATAAAGGTAGGCATCACGTAATTCTATCCAGAAGAGCATGCCAACCTATCCCAAATATAATCAGGGACACTCTGTTAGTCTTGGTTCTCCCATACTGTACCAGATTATATAGATAGGTTATCTTAGCATATCGAGATGATGCTTTGTATTAACCATGAGGGATCTAACTGCAGCACCATGTGGATTCACCCAATCTGGGTTTCTGAAACTTAATATCTCCCTGCCCTGAAGTTGTTTCTTGGTCTTTCCTTTCCTCCCCAACCCTCTTCCCTTCTTTACAAGCAGCTGTCCCTCCACAGTATCTTCCTCAGCAATGGTCCCCTCTTCCTCAATTGTCATCTTCTCAGAGTAAATTTGGGAATAGACAGGGAAGCAGGTATTCAGAGTTGTTCAGACAAATGGATTAATCTCTTCCAAGCAAAAAGTGGTGGCTAGATAGAAACTATGGGCTGTCAGGTGGGCTACATCAGGTGAGACTCCTGCTTCCACTTTTGGGAACCTGTGCTCATACACTAACTATCAATTTAATCCTGGCCCTGAAAAGTTGATGTGAACATATACAACTAAACCAGCAGCTTTAAATTTATAAGACCTGTGGCTTATCCAAATTGAATGGATTGTCTTTTTTGGCCCTTTTCTGTAGTCAGACTGTCCAACAGGCCATGGTTCAAACAGTGGGTTGGTGTCACAGCTGCCTGCAGCCACTCTGAAATCGTCCGCTCCTCCTGCCCAGACAGGCAAAGGTGGGAAGGGCAGAGCAAATGGCTACAGCTAACATACAAGTTCCTTAGCAACCAGGTCTTGAATCTTCAGAACAAACACTTTACTGCTTTACTTGTGCATGCATATTTCTTTGAACTAACTGCTAACAGAGCAGCTCCACTTTTTCTATGTGCAGCTAAAAATGGCCTCTCTCAGCACTACATGGAAAGGTACACTATAATTGCCACAACCCTGCCCCCCCTAAATTCCTCCCTTTCATTTCCAGGCTGAATTCTACTTTCCTACGTATCCCTGACATTCACAGCGACGCCAGTGTTCTCAGAGTTACTGTGGATTTACACATCTGTAACCGAGAGCAACGTTTATCTCCCCCGTGGCTCCAATGCAATGCCTTCACAGTATGTGGCTGAGCTCAATATTCAGATTTGAAACTCTCCCATCGAACAATGTACTGCTGGGACAATAGTGCTCAACAGACCACAGGGGTTGCCACTTCCCAATAGCTGAAGATATATGGAAATGGTTATTGATAGTGTTATTAAGCCATATTGAGATCACATTACAGAAGGTATGGCCCATGAAGCGACGGGAAACTTTTTTCAACCCCTCTGGCCATAGCTATAGGGCTTAATAATTTTATAGGATAACATATGCTTAAAATTACTTCAGACTTCAGCTAATCTCCAATATCACTCTGTGAGACAAGTGGAAAATATTATCTTCCTTAATTTAGAGCTAAAGAAACTAAGATGAGGAAGAGCCTACAGCTACAGAGGAATATAATAGAGGAAAGAGGATTAAAATTTGAGGCCTCCTGGCACCAACTTCCTAGCTTCTCCTTCCAGACCGCATCACCATTTCTGATCATGCTATTATTCTAAACCCTATGCACAAACCTGGCTTCAACTATGTCCCACAAGCAGTAGTTTGAAGTATCACGGAAAGAGAAATAAAATAACTGTATCATACCACAAAATTATTTACAATAATCTATTTCTGATAAACCCCAGTATGTGGCCACTAGAGGATAACAGAGACACATGAAATTAAATTAATTATACTTTCAAATGAAGACAAACTTTATAGATTTCATTAATTTTCTACATGGAAAGCCTACAGAAATGCTAAATAATATTCTTTTTCTGATAGCAACATTTTGAAGCTTATTTTAGCAGAGCTTATTTAACATTTCCTGATGCTATGAAAGTCAATTTATGCAGAAAAAACCCCAGCAGTTAGAGACTTGGTTATTCCATTTTCCATTGCAGTGAAGATTTGAATCTTACTTTTTCTGAAAGCATCTTTAAAGAATTCTTCAAGCTGTCTGGAGAATGCTGGCTTGCAGAATTAAGCAGCAGGTCCGCATGGCTTGATATGAGAGGTTGTAGATGATTGATGTTGCTGAGAACTTCTTTTGCCTTGGCTGTGTTCTCAGGTGAATAGTAAATACACTGGTATCCAGTACTGTAATAACAGAGAGAGTCACATAATGTCAAAATCATTTCTGCTATTAACAACAACGCTTAATGTGCTAAAAATCTTACCACTGGTTTTGCAAAAAACGACAGATACCTGAACTTCACTGATATCATTGAAATGCTCCTTCCTTTAAGGGTAAAAACAAATCCTTGCTTGCTTGAACAGTAGAGGACAATGGACTGCCCACCACCAAAAGCTCCAAGTAGTACTGTTCAACCTAATCATCCCTTTGACTGATTGATCTTAACATAAGAAAATCAGTTTTTTATTTATTTATTAAAAAAAAAAAAAAAGTAATTCTGGAGAAACAAAAGGTTTGACCAAGCCAGGTAATAACCATAAAGAGCATAAGGCGCTCTATTTTTCCAGCTGAACTCCCCATCACATTATTAACTACTTCACTGAGTCTTTCAAAATGAGCCATTAATGTTTAATTGATCAGTGGCCCACACTATGTTCTGATTAGCATCACTGATGTCCAGGAAGTGGTGATAACCAGAGTTATTTCCAATAAAAAATGTGTCTAATTTGTAAAAGACACAGAAATGGGGCGTGGGAGTTAATTACTACAAAAACACACAAACGCACCCTGCAAACTTCCTACTTTCCTTTTAACTGTTCACAAACTACTGCAATTCTTTTGCGTGAATTCTTTTCATATCCCTCATTTTTTTTACCAACACCTACTAATTATGCAATATCCTTTTATACCATTATTCCAAAATCCCATTTTAGACAGCATGCACATACCTACTGGTTCTTCACTGTAGTATACATCTCCCCACCTAAAAGTCTTGTACATAATCCTTCCCTTTACAAAGCCCTGCTGTAGTCTTTCAGAGAAACTAACTGAAATCTTTTGTGGTTTCATATTAACCTGTAATGTTAGCACAGGAAAAAACATAACCAGGCAACTCCTGGGACATTACCAATGCCAGAGCGATGTACATACTACTCCCCAGTTGCTTCTGTATGTATCTCCCTTCTTGTGTCTTTTTGTCATACATCCTTCAGTCTCTTCCACCCTTTCCCCGCTGATTTAATTTCTTTCTTAATTTCACATATCAAGATCTGAATTTTGACACTCCTGCAATCCTCTGAACTTCACACATTGCTTTTCATTTTAGTCTTTTTCAACATCTCTTCACTCCCACATTTCCCCTTTGTGTCTTCTAGTGTCCCTTCCAGTTTCTCCTCATTGGTTTTCTACAAATTAGAAATTAAATTTAATACAATAAAGGACATATGCAATATGCATTCAGAAGTCCAAATGAAGTCACTTCCATAAAACTTAAAAGGCTTAAGTCTTTTGGCAAATAAGGATAGATGCAAGCAGTCTTAAAGTTAAGCCTCTTCCTTAGATACTTTGCTGAATTACACTCCCAAATTCCACAATACTCCATCCTGTTTTTCTGTCTTTCACCAGTGTCTCCATTTTTAGATACAATTCTTTCTAGAGTCAGTCAGGATGAATGGCATCTGAGTCAGCGAAGCTTTGCCATGATCAGTCACGCTACCAGCCACACCAAAATTACTATGCTTCTCCAGTTCGCAGTCCACTACATGAGTTGATAGAATGCTGAGTGCAAAGATCAGAATTCTGAATATTTCAACAAAATGAATCATATAAACTGTCTCTCTCAGTGAACTGGGCAAAAAAAAAATCCCCGTCCCTCTGAGAAGTGAGGAAATGGCCACAGCTCTGCCTTCAAGGTGGCAACACTGTTAGTGAAATGAACTTCCAAAGTCGGATCTATCTCTACATTCACTGCAACTCCCAAGCTGTCAGACTCAGTAGACAGGGCAGGGACAAAGAGTAATAGTCTATGTTAATTGTAGTAAAGACATAGTCTTAAAAGTCTTGATACTTCACAGTGCTGAATAATCTTCTCTAATTCCCCTTCAGGCTTTTCCCTCCCTTTATCAAACAGTCATTTTGCAGGCTGAATCTGGGTAACACTGTTATCAAGCTCACCATGCACATACTCCTTTCTGGGATTCCCCTCAGCCTTTAATTCCCAGATCATTTTCACTGATGTCCCACAGCTCTAAGCTTCAGTGAATATTGCAGCAGAAAAGCTACAGACAATGCTATAAGAAAAGAAAGCAGGAAGAGATACTAAACCTGTGGGTAGTTCTCGTTCTAATGAAGTCAATCATAGCTTTTAAATAAAGGAAGTAGTGAAGAGAGAATGACTCTTTCTTCAGAATGAAGTGTTCTGTCAGGCCTCATTATTTGGCTAATTTTAACATTTCCTGAACCCCAGAAAGCATGAGATGGCTCCAAATATTCAGTTTCTTTCAAAATTTGAGGGCAACTTCCCCTCTCCCCTCAAGAGAGTGAGTAATTATTTTTCAGAAACAACATGTTTGGGAGTATCTGAAGTTTCTAATTGCTGTGTCTCAACACTGTTGCATCTAAGATTAGCCTGAGATTTTCTGTGGCCTTACCGTTCATGAAAAGACATTACTACTTCCAATTAACTGAAATTAATTTCCTTATAACTATTTTTAGAGCTTGCTGTCACACATAGTTATGGTATATAAGTAGTACTACTTAAAAGAAGCAGCTGCCAATAGAACATGTAGAGCAACTTTTTACAGGTGTCCTAATGCAGAAACTAGATTAAGGGAATTACAAGTATGAAGAAACTTTTGCATTAGGGCAAAGGCCACATGCATAGGTCTGGTGTGGGAAATCAGCACCGCTATGAAAATCTACCTTTGATATGTAAAACAGTCATGTACCTTTTGAAAAAGTCTATAATAATGTCTCCTGGGTTAAGTTTCAAAGCTTTCACTAAGCATATAAAAATTACACTTAATCACTTCCATATATTGGCACCATCATTAACTACGTACACATGACTGTCAGTGGTCATTTTATTTTTAAAATTGCTTTAATGACTTTGTCATGTAATTTGAATAAAGATTACATTGACTACATCTGCAATTTTAACTCTCAATTAGCAAAGTTTTTGCCTGAGAATAAATACTGCAATATGCTAAATGTCTAATTTTTAATGACACTCCGAGTAACTCCACTCCTGCTGTTAACTGAGTAATTTGTGTGACTGAGTTAAATTGTCACCATCTGGGACTGGGTTAAATTCTTTCAACAATGAACATTTGACCTCACATTTTTCACAGTCAAAACTGCAGACATTAACATCAAGAATACAGTTAAAGCACACACAGCAAGAACATCTACCCCCAGATAACCTCGAGCTTATGTACATTACTGAAGATACCAACTCAGTGGCTTATTTATGCATCACTTGTATTCTGTCTAAAGTGGGAAGTTATGATCAAAAATAAATTGATTACATAAAAAAAACCAGGACAACTCACTGCCTCAGGAAATAAAACTAAACCATATGATCCGTGCTGAGGTTTTGAAAACAGGCCTGAGAGAGTTCAGAAGTTCGAAGCATTTTTTTTTATTTCCTTAAGATTCCCTTGCAAACTTGGAAAGTCTAACTTTGAATACTGAAGAAAATAAAATTATGTTATTAGTTCTGTCTAATCTATTTTTACTTATGAAGTCCAAATCTCCATGAATCCTTATCTTGAAGCAATGGCTAAGGCTGTATGCACAGAGCTTCTCTTGCTGCTCTTTTATTCCCTCTTCATTCCTAACTGACCCTTGGAATAACTCTACATCAACGCCTTCAACTGGTAAGGGGACATGAGTTTCAGTGAAAAAAAAAAGGTCCAGATGCCCTTCATCAGCCCTCTAGAGACCTAAGTAGGGCAGATGCCAGAATGGCATAGGTGAATCTCATACTGAATCTTCCTAGGAGGACCCACTCCAGGAAGGCTGAATGCCTAGGGAAAGCCTTCCACAGTTCTTCAAATTAATTTCAGAGTATCTTTACATTGGTGGAAAGATGCAAGTAGCCTTTAACATAGGGGAGAATCTTATGCAGGGTGACAGCATGGGTCTTAGAAGAAAAAAGATATGGTGCCTCAATGCAAGCCTAGGCTAAATGGCGCCTTTCAGTGGAGCCTTTTCCTGGCAGCCTGCTGACATGCGTGTTACAAGAAAGGATGGCAAAGTCATGGGTCCATTCCCCTCCTGCCACTCCTGGAGCCCATCTGTATAGAACAGTTTCTAGCTCTCCAAAACATATGGTCTTTTCTAACCCTTGCATGCAAAGCTCCCTCAAATCCTTCTTCCCTTCTTTTTTCCAGCCCCAGTCCCCTTCCTTTTATGCCTGCTTAAGGAAATGCTTCAGGCAACTCTGTCCAGAGAGCCTAGTGGCTGGAAAATACTGTGATGAGACTTTTATACCTCAAGGAATAGCACAAACTTTGGCAGTTTCTTGGCAAAACTTCCAACAACCTTAATATATTGATTTTATGGTCAGTGAAAAACTGTTAATCTCCATGAAGTCCAATCTCTCTCTCTCACACACACAGAGATATATACACACACACAGAGATACGTATATACACACACACACATGCAAAAAAGGGGAAAGTGAGCAAAGAATAACGTCTCTGTGAAAAGTGCTATGCATGACAGGCTGTGGTTTCCCTTTGAGAATAAAGGTTACAATTAGATCAAAAACAAATCATTATTATTTCAACATCTTGGGAATTTTCTGTGAAACAGTACCAGTTCAGGTTTCTCAGAGAATGGAAATGGGCTGAAGGTTATGAAACTCGGGTAATAGGAACCCTAAAGATCTCAGTGTTAATAAAATCCCTGGTAACAAGTATGTTAGTGAAGGAGCACACCTCACCCCTTGACCAAAAATCTAGGCCTCGTCAAACAAAAAAGGGTCCTTCTAGACAGTTCAAACCCAAATTAAATTATTATGGCTTAAAAAAAAAGAAAAAAAACCACCCACCCAAAAAACCCCACAACAGAAAATCCTTTTCAGTACTATTCCAGCTTTAAACTTGTGCTAATTTAAAGCAGGATCTTTCCTAAAGAACTTGCTAGAAATGGTGTACAAAACCATAGTGAATCACAGCACCTAATGCAGCTTGTAGGATGCCTCTGTTTTTCTTGATGGTTAGTACTGGGGCATTTAAGATCTTGTAACCATAAGTCTGTGTGTTTTGGCTAAAGCACAGATCATCAAATTAGATTTTAAATAAGAAAAAAAAGGAAGTCCTTGCTGTACCTTGAAAGCTATTTATGAACATTTCAAGCAGTAAGGCATTATATGGGTATAACTTACTGAATGTCTGCCATAAATGTTCTTGCACAACTGAGCTCTAAAAATAATAATTTTTTGTGCCATCTAGACCAATGAGAAGACAAGCCCTTCCATTTGCTGGAAAGAGAAGTAATCTATACTAGCAGGCCAACAGAAGACTGAATCTGAGCAACTGACTGACTTTCTCTTTTAGCTAGAAATAGGGAAGGAAAAAAATAAAAAGAACAAACCAATACAGCATTATGAAAAAAAATTTCTAAAATAAATGTATATCACACACAGATAATTAATATTCTGCAATGATTTAGCATACCTTAATCATCACATTCCAATTATTTGAATTTAAATGCTATCATACCCAAGCAAGATTAAAAAAAAGCATCCATTGTTCTTACTGGTCTTAAGAAGTTCACTACTAGCTACTAAAGGGACAGACATACTAGCATCACGCCTTATAGACATGCCTGATATTTGTAGTGGTAAAGCCGTTTATCTGTCTCTGTTGCAGGTAAAAAACAGTACAGATTGTGAATGGGTTATAAAGCAATGGACCTGGCTTCAGATCACATACCACTAAGTCTTGTTTTTCACCTGAAAGAAAAACTATTCTCCCTATTATTTGAGATGATATTTTTAGAAATTTACCTTTTTTTTTTTTAAAAAAAAATATGACTTGCTTGGTGGTAACAAATGAGTGAAGAATTGCAAAAATACTGCATTTTTATAAATATTATTATACAACACCTTCCCCTCTTTTGTCTGCACAAAATTATATATTCTGTGCAATAGAAAATACGCCTGACCTATCTTCAGATACACATTTTCCACATTTTTCTGTTTGATAAACTTCCATGAAACATGTGTTTCACTCTTGTTTTGGTTTGGCAATTGCAAATGCAATTATGCTCTTGCAAAGTGGGTATAACCTTGCTACCAGTTAACAGTTCCTCTTGACTGTTAATTCCACAAGCATAGGTTTGATCAAGGAATATTTTGTGATATGCTGAAACTGTTGAATATTTCAATAAACTGTTCTAATAATCAGCCTGAAGGTCAAAGGCATGCAAGGCATTCTGTTACGTGCACTAACAATGTCTTGAAAGCTACTGGATTGGCTTGAGAAAGAATCTCTTCACACATCTTCCTCTAGGTCTTCAGGTTAGCCTAGAGGAAACAGCTGCTAAATCTGCATTTTTTTTTCTGTTCATTTTATATTCTGCCTGATATCTCAAGGTGTCACTTCTTCCTTCAACTGAATCTTCAGAAAAGTTGCTCCCATTGTAAAACAGAAAATTTAAATTGTAAAAGCTGCCCCTGGAAATGCCATGTGTCCTCAAAGCATCCTCATGCAGTTAAACAAACAGGTGCATACAAAATAAAGTTGTCATTGCCACAGTGAAAGAAATTTCTCCGTGGTAAGAATGAGAATAGTCCTTTCATGTATCTATTTAAAGCAGACCCACTCTTGAATATTCAAATAAGTGAGATCATATGCAGAGCTTGCTTTCTCCTGTCTTTTGACTCATACAAGTTCTTCTAGTTGAAGTAAAAAAAAAAAAGTAAAAAAAAAAAAAAAAAAAAAAGGGGCGTTTTCTCTGAGCTGTCCTCAAAGATCGAAGGAAAGAGGACTTTTGGAGGTTTCATCCTTTCTACTTCGTGGGAATTCATACACCAAGCAACCATTTCTTCAGGTGTGGTAAGTGATTCGCTAAAAACTGCAGTCCCTGTTTTCAGTGATCAAACCTAAGTTTGTTAGCCTGACTCGGGCTCTTTTTTTCAGAAGAGTCTGACAGGACAGTAACACAGTTACCCTAGTTATATCATCCTAAAGACAGACTTTTACTCTTTCAGGGGAACAAAGAAACACAAACAAAACTGCACTGTCAGAGCAAAGGTCCAGTATCCTGTCCTTGAAAGTCACCAAAATACAGGTGCTTCTGAGGGATGCAGAAAAGACTAAGCAGCAGGGCAATTATAAAAACTGATGTGTAGGCACTTTGAAATAGGCATCAAATGCATTGATAAAACCTGCACAAAGCTTTACCCAGTGCTCCTAAACACATTCCTCTATCAGCTTAGAGGTCTACCTGGTTTCAGTCAGTGAAATAAGGGTGAATGAAAATGAGAAGAGGCTGCACCGCACCGAGTATCCTTTGCCATGCTAGCCTTTTGTCACATAACATTGCACAGGATCCAAAGAAAGGAGTCTAGCCCATCATCTTCTCCTCTCCCCTTGTTATGGGCAACTAAGAAATGAGGGCATTGTCTATTTGTTCCTACAAGATACTGCAGTATGCGTGCTCCCAGGAAGAACTCAAGAAAGACTAAGTCTCTTCCCTATAAGGCATTTTCCCTTTTTTTTCTCCAATGAACAGAAACCACAGATAATAATTTCAAGTTTGCTTCACAGCGATCCTCCATTTTGGGAAATCACATTCTGCCAATGTGGATATGCTGCAGGACTATGCAAGTGAGAAATGGTTCATTTTCTGAAAGCTGAACACTGAGGACTGGAACTGCAGTGTTCTTTGTATCACTTATGACTTTAATTTCTTCTTACGATAAAAACCCACAAAATACTATTGCAACTATATTAATCAGACAGTTAAGTAGCAGATACTTTAAGAAATGTCTGTAGATTTCTTTTCATCAGGAAGCGTGTACTTCATAGGCCTCCATATCATTGGGATAAGGCTGCCTGTACCAGTCTGCTGACAGCAGAATAGGTACCTACTGTTAACACAAAGTCCATTCGTGGGTCTCATGTGATCAACGATATTGGCAACTTTTGTCACCAAAGGTGGCCAGGGAAATGAAAGATTTTAGAAGATTTAATAGTTTTTTTTATGTCATGCAGTGAAAATAGAAAAAAATAATACAGTTTTCAAAGCAAATATACCTGCCAGTTTTTGTTTGGTTTTTGCATTGATGCCAACTTCTAGTCAACCTGGAAGTCAACAGTAGATTTTTATAATTTCTCCTTTTATTGTCTATGATACTGTACCTACAAAACTTTTTTGAGCATTGAATATAATGGAATTCATTTTCTATGGAGCATTGTGATGACTTAGCTTAGCATACATGCAGTATTTCCTGCATTCCCTTTTGAATGCTGTGCACTGATTGCATGGGGTTGGCACAGCTAGTCCAAGTGTTGAGCAATCACAACTACGGGTGCTGCCAGTGACAGCTGTGGCTGTTCAAAACTTCTTAACAGCCATAGCAACAAACACAAATACGTCCAATTCTTAGTTAGCAAAATATGCAGTTAGCACTTCTGTACATGTTCAGTGGTTAACAAAGCATTTGAGTACAGCAATAAATTGAATTCCTAGTTAAGGCCTTAGTCTCATTTTGGCTTTCTGAAGAATAAGAAAAAGAGTAGTTTCTTATTTACTTCACAGGTGTGCTAAAAATATTTTTTGTTCACATATGCCCAGGGCTGTCAGAAATGAAGATGCTACCTTAAGCTACTGTTTCTTTATTGAAAAATTGTCTATAGCTACTTTCCACTTAGCACAAGAATTACCAAAGAAATATCTCATTCTGAACAGCATGTTTTCAAGCACTGACATTCCTCAAGCTTCCTGAAATATGGGAAGAAAATTTCACAATTTTGGGTTTGTGTTCAAAATTAAGTCTTGACACTAAAAGTAAACTGTGCTTCAATTTTGCAGTCCAGCAAAGCAGGGAAGATAAAGGAACTATTTTATGAATTCATCCTTCTCTGTTCCTACCAGATTTTAATATTCCATGCATTCAGCAGGGTAAACTGTTTTGTTACTCCGTGAGCTCATAACATTTTAATACAACTTTAATGATATGTTCCTAGCTACTTAAAAAAATACTTACTTTCGTCTTTCTGCCTCAAATTTACTCAGCAGTTTTCGGAGACCACCATTCTTAAATCCTTGGAAATGGGCTGCCGGAGCTCCCACGGTGATGACATCATACAGAGCATCTGGAATGGGAACAGACAAGCACAGAGATTTACATGTGCCTATGCCCAAGGTATGGTAACACTATGATATCTACTCTACAAGACACGAGGACATCGAGTCTGTATTATTTCCAAGGAATAATTGAGAATCTGTGTCTCAAGAAGGCCCAAGAGCTAATCAATCTTTCCATACAGCCACCTGCACACCCTAGAAAGGTTACCTGATTTATTGCTACATCTAAATTATATGCCACAGTGTAGAACAATATTCTAGCTCTGCAGTTTACAAAGCTGCCAAGTAAATTGGCCCTTTGTGTATTGCACTTTATTGTCCCTTCCATTATTTAACTTGTAGTCATGTTGAGATGCACAGATTCATGCATTTTAGAGTCAAAAGAGACCATTATGATGGAGTAGTCTGACTGCCTGAATAATACATGCTACAGAATTACAGCTAATGTTTCCTGCATCAAGCTGATGTCTTCAGATTGACTGAAGGTGTCTTTTTTAAAAAAAAAAACAAAACCAACAACACACCCATCTAATCTTGATTTAAAGACTTCAAGTGACAATGAATACACTGCATTCCCATAGAAGTTGCTCTAATGATTAATCATTCTCACTAGTAAAGTTCTCCACTTCTTTTCTAGTCTGAATTTGTTTAGCTTCCACTTTCAGATATAATTACCTGTTTAATGCTAAATTGAAGAGTTCTGTTCTATGACATATACTTACTTCTTACATATGCTTATAAACACAGAGCAAGTCAGTTGTTTTCACTTGAAAAGTTACCAGAATGGGAAATAAACTATACTATTAAAATTTTTGCTGAGACAAACTGTTGTTACTGTCTGTATGTACCTGATATCTTGTGACATATGTGATGAACTTTTTCTATGGATGTATGCTTACAGAACTAGAGATGAAACACCTTTTTAAAAACAGCCTCTCATTTTGTGCCTGTGCTTGATTGTCAGTGCAGAGATGAAGATTTAATTACATCCCAAACCATAATAATTATTCCTTCAAAGTTTAAATTTATATTTGCAGAATTTACATTGGCGCTAAGCAGTACCTGTTTTGTGCCCAAGCTTACTGGAGGTACAAAACTACAGGTCAGAACGCCTCATTCTTAACATGTATTTCTAAAGGAAACATTAGAGGATGTTTTCTTGTGAATTATTTTATTCATCAAGGAAGCTTTCCATATAAATTAAAATCTAATCCTCTCCTAAAATAGAACTTTTCTTGCATTCTGATGACAAATATCCCTAAAAGCAAGAACACCGTACCAACGATTCACAGTTAATGAACTATGTTTTACATGATTCCAGAGCTGAATCACAAAGTGTATTTGCTCAAATTGATTTGAACTCTAATGAATTGGTGACTCTTCAATTTCCACTTAAAAGGAGAAGTGACATAATTTCATTAGCCCCAGGTGAGCTTCAAGATTCTTAAATAGCCCATTCTTTCAGGTCTTCATAGAGATTTATCCATAATATATAATCTTGGGGCTATTAGAGCTCCATAGGTACTTGACAATAAGTAGTTCTATTGCTTAAAACAATGGTGGCTTGAAACCAAAATAAGCGATGAACCCATCAGGTTAACTAAATAATGGCTTCTGAATATGTTTACAGGTAACTCAAAACTACATTTAAAAGACTAAAGCCTGGTGCTTTTTCCAACTCTGTTTTAAAAATAAATAGCGACCCTGCCTATAGCTACTTTGTGGGGGATTTACCCAGAAGGAAGCTGTCATTCAGCCTGCGGCCTCCTCTTAGCATGGTCGAGGAGCAGCTAAATACACCCAGAACAGCTGAGCACCTACCCCATGCAAGCAAACACAGGAGAGTGAGGATGGCAAAGAAGAAGAAAACGTCTACGACCCTGGTGATGGGCACGAGCAGTCTCACTCCCACTTTCCAGAGCACAGTACACTGGAAAGTGCTGCAAGACTCAGGAGGAATGCCTTGTGATGTCCTCCATTTACAGATCAATGCAGCTCCTTGTGAAGGACATGCAGTGTCAGCATGAGTGCACCGGTACAGGAATGCTCCAGTAACTCGGAACCATCATCCACTTCAAGAACAGACTACTGCTGTCAGCTCTCCACAGTGGAGACAAAGCTTAAAATGCAGCAGAGAGTTGTAGGAGCTGTATCATAATGTCAGCATGCTCCTCCAAAATGATTAATTAACAGATGTTTAAAAAAAAAAAACCCTAACCAAACCCTCAACCCTTCCTCAAATAATTACTTCAAAATTTGAAGGAAGAAAATGCAAAAGTTTAGAGTGCAACGAAATTGAGCTTTAAATCAACCATCATTTCATACTAGTTATTCTGACTCAAAGATACATTCACCTCCTACTTACACAAGTGAAACAACACTAACACCAGTTACACGCTCACCAAACAACAATTCCTTCACCATGCAGAAATATAAACTACCTGCTCATTACTCCTTCCCGAGTAAAACACAGAGCTTGTGCAACATGGTGACAACCATAGCAACACAGTAGAAGTTCCATAAACCTAAGTTTTATCAGACCAATTTAAAGAGCTAAGGCATATGTCAAGCACAGCTCAATCTCAAATTTGAAGCAACCTGCTTGCCTTCACAGGAGGCAGTCACTGTCTCACACTGGCCAGAAGCAAAATAAAAATCTCTTCAGTCCATCAAATTTATTTAAAACAAGCACACTCAACGTATAAACAGGGACAAAAGCAAAGCTATGGCAACATATACATTTATATTCTGCAGTACCACAGAGCAAAATGTGGTATTTATCAAATGGATAGGGATACAGTTATCCCATAATGAAATGGTATTTTTCTCAAAGCTGTTCCTACTGGAAGTTTAAACACACAGGTGTTTTCTATTCCATGTCAGTACCCAATAACAACCCAAATCAAAGTTCAGTAGAAGTAAACCTGTTATTAAACACGTTGAACAAAAAAGCACATATCCACGTGCATACATATGACAGATGGGATTAAAACCTATCTTGCATTCCCAAAATTAAGATATCTGACAGCGTAAGGGTTAATGACAGCTTTATGGCTTATCAGCTTGTTTAAATCACCACATCTGTGAATGTTTACATGCTTCCCCCCAACCCATCAGTCTCCTGGTTATATTCCAGGTGCCCTTTGACATATGCCAAGCAAAGCAGGAGATGAGAAAGCCCAGCTTGATGTCAAAGTGCTGCTTACTCCAGAAAGATTGGCAACTGCTACAGACTGTTCAAAGCGTATGTACCTAATACAAGACACAGCTCTTTAGTACTCATAAAATGAAACTTATTTTGGTAAACTAAACACATGGGACAGTGGCTATGCAATAGATACAGAAATCATTTCTCCAACCAAAGTTGAATATAATAACAATCTTCAATTACTTTTTGTTGTATTTATACTGTAGTACTACCAGAATATCCTAAACATATGGAGGAACCCATTTTGTATATAGAGAAATAAAACAAGCTCCCCATAACTAAGGTGTCAGTCTTCCAAAAGAATGTATAGGCAGAAATTCCCTGATTTTAACACAAGTTCTCTTCTTTATTAACGTTTTGCAATCTCTAAACTTGAGTGTAAGAACAGTGTTATCTAATTCTCATGTCAGTGGAGTGAACATTAGCTGAAGAAAAAAAGGGATATTTTTATAATTTAAACAAAGTTCTAAATTTGGAAGATGATTCTAACGTTTATCTCTTTCTGTACCCTTTTCAATTATGGATTAACCATATGTCACAAGCAAAGTGGTTTTGGAGGAGAAAGGCGAAAATTCATTAAAAACAAAACAAAACTCAAGTACTGTAAAAATTGTGGGTGATTAAGTAGCATATTTCGTTCCACTTTTTTACTCAGCAAATAAACATACAGTGCCCTCTTCCCAGAGAGGTTTTCTTGAAAATACACAAAATTAAGGTTCTGGCCACCTAAGTCATTACAAATCTAAAAATGCTTTTGAGGTAATTAAATAAATTCAAAACATCAGCTAAATTAAAATTTGTGCTGTCACATTCTGTCACTATAAATCCCCATCCTGTTAAAATGTTTAAAGGCACCATTGTTTAGTTAAAGAAATAACAAAATATTGAAGCAATACAGTATCTAACAGACAATCAGAAGTCCCCGCGTTCCAACTCAGAAGTGGGTGAACATCAGTAGTACACAGAATAATACTCCCATAATTATTGTTTGTACTTAGTGGTTTACAATGTGCTTAGATGCAGAGTGTATTTTTAAGGCAAAAACCTTACAGGGTGTAATTTCTGCGTTTCTACAGTGACAGCAAATTTAATAGATCTCAATTTATCAACAAATTATTCACTGTACTATGACTTGCTCATATGTATGTATCAATACCTTTTATCTGTAAAGGATGCTGCTAAAACTATATGCAAGCAGCAGCAACAGAATTCTGCATTAAACAGAATTACAGATGACATTACAGAAAATTATCCCCTTTTCCAGAAGGTATTAGAAGTTCGCAGTATATTCGGCGTCATCAGGGAGATATTTGCACTTAACACTACGCAAATGCTTACGTTGCACAGAGTAGCGCTGAAGAAGCTGATTTAGGCACAAGCAGTGCTGGGCTCATTAAGGCTTCCTAAGAAATAGGATATATTAAGTTTAGAAGTAACACTGTCCTTAATGGAACCGTGCAACTCGCATCGCCTAGGCTGGCGAGTTCATCCTGTCAATCTCTGGGAGGAAATATATTGTGCTCTATCATTATCTCTGGTGGCACAGTGGGAAAAAAACCCGGCCACCTTAGAAACAAGACAGGTAAGACCGGCTTTTACGCTGCACTGACATTATGGATCACAATGAAAAATTAAGCCGATGCCCTAGAAGGACGTCAATCTTACTGAACACTGTGCAGCGTGTCAGTATGAATCATGACAGTATTAGTCCTGCACTGCTACAACAGACTATTTTTAACCACACATAGGCTACCAATACATTTCAGTGAACATATATTCCGCATTTACTTATTTGTTTGAAGTGTCATAGAAACAAAATGAGCACGACACAGCTAGAATTGCTTTTAAAAAGAGAAGTTAAAAGAAATCTAGTTAACCACTCCTTAGTTTTCCAAGTTCTGCAGTCAGTATCCAAAGCTTGTGGCTTCAGAAGATGAGGCAGAGAAATCCCTTGCATAGCTTTAACTTTGGACCCGATTCCTAAGTTTCAGCACAGACTCAGGACTTCTGATCAATCTCAGTGGCAGTATGTCTGGGTGCAGGTTTCAGAATTTGTAGAGAAATGTGGAGGACGAGCAAGCTGGTCACTTCTTTGATCTCATGATTTACTTAAGTGTGGTCCTCTATGGACAGTACATATTCAGTTGCTCTGGAAATATACCAAACACCACCCAAAACTGAATGTTTGGGGTTTAGAAGCAGATGCACAGGCCTGAGAGAACTAAATCAAACCCTTCAGGAAGACAGGCAAGTTCCAGATATGTACACAAAACAAAGGCAGGAAATAACTACACAGAAAGTTTCTACAGCCCATTAAACAAAGTGAAAAATCAAACACTTTAAGCCTGTACAGCAGTAGAAATTTTTAAATAATGAATTTGGAAGCTTGATTTTGATTTTATTAAAAAACTAAACAACCAACAAACCAAAACCACCAAGCAACAATCTAGTCATATGAGAAACCTTCTGTATCAAGCCATACTGCATGAACCTTACAAACAAGGTAATACTGTACAAACACATGCAACATGAAATGAATCTTAGAATCTTCTTTAAAAGTCAGTGTTTCTTGTGATATTCTTTTCTGCTCAGCATTATTCCAAATCTATGTAAGCCAAAATTGCACATAAATTTAAAAAAAAAAAAAATATAATCAATTTAATACTATTACTTTCCATGCTTTCTATCTGTAGCATTTTTATGTCCCATCTACAAGGTTAACAAGACTGTTGCCAGTATCCTACCATTAAGTGAAAAATGCAAAATGACCAAGATTCAACTCTCTAAACAGAATACCTTTCAGTTCCATTGTGGTTTTAAGGTTTCATCTGAAAGCATGTCCACCTAATGTTCATCCTTGATAAGGATGATTAAGATATTTACATCTATAAAAGTGCTAAAATAGAAACCATACCTCTCAGCTGCAGGTTTAATTGTATTTCACAGCACACTTTGCCATACTTAGGGAATTTTGCCGTAGAATATACTATACCTTTCAATCGAGGACTATGCACGTGCATTCTTTGCAGATGAAGATTTATTGGGATGAATTCCAATGTTTTTTCTCCTTTGCTACAGCTTGATTTGAAGGAAGAACCTGAAAAACAAAAAGTTTAAAGAATCATTATCTTAAGCACCCAGCATATGTTTTGTCTTCTTTTTAATGCAAGGACAATATTTGTATGTTAGGAGTCGTCTTTAATTTACTTTTAATGTGTAATTGTATATTAGGAGAAGAATGGTTCACTAACCAAGTCTCAGCATGTATCCATATTGGAAGCAACAAAACAGCTTTTAATTCACAGAACAATCTAATTTTTTATTCTAGGTGATAGACATTTTTTTTCCTGCTGTCTGAAATCTGTCTGCAGTCTGCTGGAAACAATGTCACAGTTAATGTGCATTATGTTTATTCTGTGCTAAAAACACAGGGGTACAGAGCTATGATGGTACTACATTTTCACCAAGTAACATTTTTTTCTTAAAACAAAAGTATTACATTGACTAGGCTATGCATTCTTCCTAGAAAGTTCAGATAAAGGAACATAAACTAGCTTAAGAAAAGCTATAAATTAGTTTTCTTTCTAAAAAGCCAAAATCACAAGAAGCACAATGCTCTGGGAAAAAAAAAAAAATCTGGTTGCATACTTCAAAATTATGAGATTATGAGTAACTCTATGGTGGTACAAAGGAATATAATTAAAGCCTGACAGTATGAAGACATGATTTAGCTGGAGATATTTGATACAGCATATTTATAAAATAAAAGGGTGTAGATTAGAAAGAGAGGTGGTCCCATCTTCTCGCTCAGGTGGCCCGAAATTTACTTTGGCCATTTTTTCAGCACACTACCCTTTTGCCAGCTATTAATCATTTGGATTAAAATTCCTTTGATTCAGATAGGATTTAAAAAAAAAAAAAAAAAAAAAAAGAAAGAGAAGTATTTGCAATTCTTATTTTTGACTTGCTCAATCAAGATTTCCTAGAGGTCATCTGTTAAAACTGCCATAGATTCCAGCATGAGCCTCCCAATGCAAATGGCATTGCTAGAGGGCACCAATGATGCTCCAGACCAGCTTATGCTGCTACCTAGGCTTAGTAACTTAAAATAATAATTTAACAAAGAGCAAAGGTAGCAACAAAAGCAATTGACAGGAGTCAAAGATTCAGATTTGATAGGAAACCTGGGGATGCAGGCTGAAACCCAGTCATTGGTGATGAGGAATAGCAGTGGGAAACTTGCATCTGGAAAGCACAGAAAGACAAAATTATGGGAGCAGTGAAGGGAACTCGAACTGTATCAGAAGGGAAATGGGAATAGTGCAGGTGAGGAGATTGTAAATCATTGGGCAAGAAAAGAGAAAGGGGGCAGATTATTTATGAGAATTCAGCTGAGGCCAAGATCAAAGCTTAAAGAACGATAACTGGATCTGAGACAAGGAAACACTGGCAGGCTAAGAGGAGAATAAGATGACAGCAGATTAAAAGGAACTGCCACAAGAAGATAGAAGGGAGAAGAGGAGAAGAGCCTGCTCTCCCTGGAGTGCACTTCTATGCTGAGCCGGAGTAGAACACATACAGCATTGCTGAGTCTTGTTATTCCTCTTTTCAGGGAAGACCTGTGAATCAAGAATCCCTTCCTGTCCAGTGCCAGAAACATATGGGATAATAACCACCCACTGCTATTTGTTATTCTGTATGAGAGATCCGTGCAGTGGAATTCAGTGGAATATCAATCTGCACCTGCCAGTATCATCCATATGATAAAAATAATTTTCAGGATAGTTTGTGTGTTTTTAAATAATTTGGTAAGTTGTATTTAAGGACCAAGAAAACTACATTCCCTCTATTAAAATCATTGTTATTATTGTTGCAAGATTAAAGTCTTCAAAGTCAGGAAATACCAGAATATAGATGCAACCTTCATCTGACATCCACCTGAAGAGGAACTGTGAAATAGACTTCAATGACATATTACATACTAGCTTTTTCCAGCTCATTGAATGTTTAGGGTCTTTGCTGCTCACTTTAGAAGCAGTGATTCAATATTTTGTTTCCAACTTTAACTTCGGTATCTGGATTCAAATATATTGCTCAAGCCTCCCACAAAGACAGGATTATTAATTTCCTCAAATCTGTCCACTGCATGCATCACTACAGTTTCTAAGTGCTTTACAAATATTTATAGAATAATTTTAACTGGCTGACTAAAAGGGCTATAATTTTATCCATTCCAATGGCAGAGAATAACTTAAGGTCGAAGCATTTAAGAAACAATGCATCAATATGAGATATGGAGGATCTCATTCTGCAGAGTACACGTTATAATGTAACATCACATTCCATTTTGGAAGCACAGCTCCCACTGAGCTGAATTACATCCATAAGTGCTGAGTACTTCTGCAAAACAGCTTGCACCTATTGCCAGGCTTCCAGAAAAGAACACACACTAACCACTTCCGAAGCCTGACTTGCCTACTGTCACATAGGTACTTTGTGACAGGGATAGTGGCCAATTCTCCAGGGCAATATTCAATTGCCTTAACCTCGATTGTCTTTTCTTCTCCTTCTAGGGCTGGATGAATACAGAATTCTCAGTTTGATGACCAAAATGGAAAAAAAAAACCCCAAACCCCAAACCCAAAACCAACCAACCAAACAAAAAAAACCCAGGGGGGTGGGGGGTGGGTGTGTCATTTCATGTGAAACTAAAACAAACAAAAAAGTGTCAAAGTTCTACTCCCTCCCCAAATCACCAAATCTGTGTTTAGATTAACCTGAAATTATTTGTTTTGGTGTTACCTAACCCTTTTAGATTCCTGTTATTACATTTCCTTGCAACAAAAATACTTGGCATTCTCTAAAATTCTCCCCCATTTTTGAGGATAAAAGTGTTTGCCAAAACAACTCAAACTTGAAAATCTTAACTTCCTTAAACCTCCATCTTCAATAAATACGCTGTTCAGCCAAAACTGCTAACGCTAATGCAGTCTCCTGATACTTTCACTGCAATCTCTCAATTTTAAAAACAAATGAAGTGGTCTATTAACAACAACCTTCTCCATTAAATTCCACAAATAGCTCAGGTGAGAGTGACGTAGGCACCTCTCAGAAAATCCAACATGTGATTGTACAGGAGCAATGTGGAAATATTTTGGAAAAATTTTATTTACAGATGCTATCTCCCCTTGTGTACACTGCCTACGAGTGAACAAAAGTCTTCTCTAGTGCTGATACAAAAGGAGATTGGAGATATTTGCACCTCGATGACTTACCTGGAGTTGGTCCTTCAGAACTGTTCATGACAAGATGCATGTAAAAAGCCCCTTGTTAAAGGAAAGCAATTGTTCAGTGAGTAACAAAGCAAAAATGCTAAACATCTTAACATTGACCTTGCTTTTGATGTTCCAAGGAGGGAGAAGAGTGTCAACAAGTTAGTGCTTCCACTTATCTCTGACTGCCAACATGGTAGTGAAGCAAAGGCAGAGGCAAAAGCACTCCATGGCTTTCCTGGAGGAATGCAGCCAGTTGGCCTTGTCTTAAAATAAGGCTTTCCAAAATAACAGCCAGACTCAGGAATTTTGCATCCAAGGCCAGATAACAGAAGCCTGATCTAGTTTAGAAAACTAACCTTGTCGAGTTCTTAAGCAGAACTATCCCTGATAGGATGGGTGCCTATTTCTGAGCAGATCTGGATCTCCAGCACAGACACACAGGTACTCCAGAGCACCACAATCTTCAAACTGTTTCAGAATGGAGAGAACTGCCTCAACCCAAACTTGGGCAATGTGGTGACTAAGATAATATATGAAGCCTATGCAGGCAGAACTGTACAGCAAAATCTTTTTTGGCCTGAACCTCTGACAACAGGAGAGTAAAGACTGTGTTGAAATACGTTGACCTGAGAAGTCCGAAAGTTGTACTCACATATCTAATGTTAGCATTTTCTACCCTGTGAATACTTAAATTGCCAGCCTCTACAATGTTCTCTCAACATTATTTTTTTGTGCAACTACAGTGTGAAGTCAAATCAATGTCTGTCTTGCTTTCTTATCAAACACTATAATCTCATGGTTTAAAGTTATGTATACTGTTTATAGAGAAGAACCATCCCAAATGGGAATGGAAGAGGAACAGGACATCTTAAAACATGCAATGAATTTTATCCACATTGATCCTATTCCTTGGGGGGGGGGGCACGAAAGCAGTAGGCATAAACTTCTGAAAACTGTACACAGGGAGTTGCAATTACTTTTTGCAAACAATCTAGGAAGAAAAAGCTATCTGGTTGAAGTCAAGTAATGGGCAGCAGAAGCATATCAGAATCTGTTCTAGATTTTGTTTTACTTTTCAGCAGACAAATCCTACATTGCCTACAGGATCAAAGTGCAGATTTGAGGTTTTAGCCCAGCTCTACATACGTATACACAATACACGCCCGCCCCTCCCCTTATATTCAGAATTTAAAAATGTTAGACCTCTATGGAACAACTTTAAAGGGACACTCACTACTCAGAGGATTTATCATCTCATCTAATTTGTGATTTAATAAGAATAAAAATGCTATAGTGCAGGGTTAAAAGCAAATATTGTCTTCCTTAGAAGGACTGTGCTATTATTTGGCTTTAGAATGTCCACATATCCCACTGATCACAATAAAATAAGTTTTCAAATGTTAAAGTAACTTTTCACACAAGATTTAAAATCAGGTGTTTTCCAAGTATAAACAAGTATCCTACCGACACTGTATTAGGAAGCGGGGGGAAAAAGGGTTGCTGAAGAAATGAGATTTAGGTACGTACCTAAGGGTTGGCCTCCAAATTAACACCTCCTCGTTATTTCTCATCTTCACTACAATTATTAGGTTGCTTTGGTTTTCTGCTTTGTTTTGTTTTCAGAGAAATGTTCCTACTCTTTTTTACATGTGCTGGTTCTGTCCTCCACAATAACCTCAGGTTCCCTGGTCCACTGCACTTCTTTCAAACCACAGTTAAGACTGGTCATTTAACATAACCAACCCTTTTCAAATTCGCCTGGCATAACACAGGCCTTGCAGGATTTATGCTTAATAGATTACATTGTCTATTTTTTATTTAATCTCAAAAGGTCATTTCAATATTTTCCTGCAAGTGATCATTTTTAGATTCATTCCTTCATAGTCTTTATTTATTGCCTTGCATATGACATTTTATGGAGTGCTTTCAAAATGTAATTAGCAAAGCATTATATATTTTTATATATATATATAAAAGTTAAAACACAGAAACATAGGAAGCGTCATACTGGATCAGGAGGTAGTCTGCCAAAATCAGAACTGGAATATTCTGATGACTGTAAACAATCAAATACAAGAAATTACACTTTTGCAACCAAAATACAAATTTTTATACAACATTTAGTGCAACAGATGAGCTTTTTCCCTCCGACACATTTAAGCAGCTGATCAACTGCTCCCAAAATGCTTAGTTTCAGTTAGGGACTGGTTTTTGTTCATACACTAAAACAGGATTTCTCTCTTCCTGTGGCCAAGAAAGCTATCCCAGAGCGATCTGGAATAGGAAATACTATGCGCAGTCCTGTATTAGACGATGAAGGAGAAATGATAAAAGTACAGTTTTAATGCCTATTTTGGAGGGGAAAGATTTGTGTCTCACCTACTAAATGCAGCAGATTCATTATAATAAAAGTAAATGCGCCCAATTCTCTATAAGAAGAAATTATTCTGCTATGCATTTTAGCTGTATACTGAACTAAAACCTGATTGCTCCAGTACTCAGTACACACAAAAAAATATTTGTTTGGTCTATGTAGAAAGCTAGAAATACTTACGAAAATACTGCAAATTCTCCCTAAATATATATCAGACATTTCAAAAGATGTTATCGCCATTTATACCTCTATTTTTTACAAATATTCATAACCATAATGTATTCCTTTTTCAGAAATATTCTAGGTTGCAAACTTACATATATGTAACGCCACGCACAGCGTTTACCTCTGACATGCACTGCTACACCTACACACGCACAATCGTGGGAGTAAGGCCACAGTGGGAACGTGGTGAGAATATAGAGCGAAACAGCATATGCAAGCAGTAACGGCTGCACAGTCATCAAAAACACATATTTGCGATGGTCACCGGGAGGACTGGCGTTAGAAAGCTGACACCAGCAAGAAAGCGGCAACAACGCCAAGGCCTTTGTAGTAATTCAGAACAAATGTGGCCATTTCCTTCCAGAACATCTCAAAAACTGGGGTAGGGGAAAGGGTAGGGGGGTCCCATCAGCAGGA